CAACTGTGATTATCCTGCAAGCAATAGTTAACACAACAAATATATATGTAATAAGATATGAGTTAGCACAACGATTATCCTGCGATTTTTATACTGGTTCGTGTACCGGCATGGCACCTACATCCAGTTCCCTTGGGTCACAAAGGTTCTCTTAGATCTTCAATCGAAATGAGTTACAGATGGTGTGTGGTTTTCTTTCGTGCACCACCAACGAGTTACAATAGTTGTTCTTGACACAACCTTTTACTTTCTTTTTTTCTCTATCTTTTGAGACACTAGTAGACTTAGGAATACAATATTTTTGCAAAGAAGTGAAAAGACTGAAAACTATATGAAAGTTGCGTGACGGTCTTCAACTCTTCCTACTCTTTATATACTCGCCAATGTATTTGATGTGTTCTATCTTCCTTGTGTTGAGAGATTGAAAAACTCAAATCCCTTTGATTGTGTTTTTCCTTTTGAGGCAGTTATATTTTAAGAGTAGGCCCAAGAGATGCCTCTTGAATCCAGCATACGGATTGTGATTGTGACTGGATTCATTTAAAATCAATTTGCTCGTCAGATCCTCTTTGATAGAGACAATCTTGATCTTCACGATTTCTTGGCAATCTTCCTCTATGCATATAAATGCTGATTTGAGGTCCTTCTTGGCAATCTTCTTTTATGCTTATTTTTTTTAAACCCCTCCCAAATTAGGAGGATCTATAGTGTTTCCACACTTCTCCTCCGGTGTGACTCGAACCCAGGACCAAACGTTCGTGATTGAAGGTGCTTTTATCAACTGAGCAAGCCTTACTTGTCTCTTTTATGCTGATTTTGAAGCTCGTGATTGATCTTGCAATGTTGATTGATCTTTTTCCTTCTCTGCTACCATGATTTGCGCCTTGATAATGGTCTATACTTAGCTGTTATCCAGTAGCAAGTTGGCTTCTTGTGTCGTTCTTTTTCATCCTGGTTTAGCTGCCCTGCACATGTATTTTCTTGCATTAGTAGTATGCACTTGACTCATGTTTTGGTCATCATTAAAATTAAAAACCTGACAAACATGTGCTCCTTATATAGAAGTTTTAGGCTATATATTATATGATTGGTAATCAATCGCTATTCATATAAAATTTTATGTATATAAGGAAAATCATATAGAACATTTTATAGGATACCTTGGGATTAATAGCGATTGATTACCAAATATATAATTTATAGCCTAAGACTTCTATATGTGGGAATATTCATATACTACTTAAGTAATTAATTGTTCTACAGAATATCCTAAGATATTTATAGAATATTCTATATGATTTTGCTTATTCAAGTACAATGAACTTAGACATTTATGAACCTAGACACATATATAGTTGATATTCAACAGTGTCTGGTTAAAGAGTTTTTTCCTTCTTTTTTTTTTCATGTTAAGAGTTCACATGAGAGATTTTGGGATGTTCATAGATTATAAGCATTTGGCAATCTATCATAAACATAAAACATGATTCCGTGATCTTAGTACTTATGATTTGCAGAATAAATGTAATATGCTTTTATCAAGAAATGTAACTTGATCCATGTCAAATTGTTGAGTAGATGTTGAATATTGATGCCTTTTTGTTCTTCATAAGCTGGGAAAAAATTGTGTTTTCCTCCCTTTGCCCATTTTCTTTCACGTAATGTTATAAGTGTGAAAAACAAAGAATAATAATGCCACTTATGTGGCATTGATACCTAAAAAGAAGGGTGCCAAGGAGTTGAGGGATTTTAGGTCAATTAGTCTCATAGGTAGCATTTATAAACCGAACTCTAAATTACTCACTGAAAGATTGAAAAGGTGGTGCACCAATCGGTAGATTCACAGCAAATGGCATTTATAAAAGGAAGACAAATCACAGATGAAGTTTTGATTGCGAATGAGTGTGTAGATTCTAGAATCAAGGAGAAAGGCCAGGAATTATGTGCAAGTTAGACATTGAAAAGGTATATGGCCATGTTAATTGGGAATTTTTGCTTGGTATTCCCCAAAAGATGGGTTTTGCTAGGTGAAATTGGTACCATTCCAACCACTTATTTGGGGATGCCTTTGGGTGCAAAGAGCTAATCCAAAGATGTCTGGAATGGAGTCTTGGAAAGATGTGAGAAAAAGTTAGCAAGATGGAAATCAAATTACATCTCTATGGGTATGGGTGGTAGATTGATTCTCATCAACTCTGTGTGAGATGCTCTCCCTACATATATGTTGCCCTTATTTCCTATACCTGCAAATGTAGAGAAAAGGCTGGACACCTTGAGAAGAAATTTCCTTTGGCATGGAAATAAAGTGAAGGGTTTTCATTTAGTCAAATGGAAGGCTCTGACCTTCAGCAAACAACAGGGAGGTCTAAGGGTTAGGAACTTGAGAATGCAGAACAAAAGTCTCCTGATGAAGTGGCTTTGGAGGTTTACTAGGGAGGAACAAGCTTTGTGGGGCAAGGTGATAAAGGCTAAATATGAAAAGGAAGGATTTTGGATGACTAAACAGATGAACAATTCTTATGGTACCAGCTTGTGGAGAACTATAAGGAACCTGTGGCTAAATTTTGCTAACAGGCTGAAATTCATTGGAAGGATGGTTGGAAAATTCTTTTTTGGGAAGACAACTAGTTGGGAATTGGTTGTCTCAAGAATCTTTTTCCAGCCATTTATAACTTGAATCAACAACATAGAGCTACAATAAATGAACTTTGGGGTGCATAAAGATGGAGTCTCTCATTCAGAAGATCTTTTTTTTTTTTTTGGATAAGGTATTCAGAAGATCTTTATATAATTAGGAGTTGCCAAGAATAACAAATTTCTCTAACACTCGGGAGCTATGCAAAGGATGCAGGAGGGTGAAGATACACTTAGCTTGGAGTCAAAATAACAGTAGGAAGTACACAGTCAGTTCAGCCTATAAGCACCTAAACCAGGGTGGAGGACAAGGCAATTTATGGTGGGATTCCAATTTGCTTAAGATACTATTTATGTGGTCAAGAGGTAGAGACAATCAGCCATCTGTTTCTACATTGTAGGGTGACTAGTCAGCGGTGGGATTTATTCATCAACCTCATGGGTATTAGGTGGACAATGCCAAGAACATATGAACTTTTGTCATGTTGGAATGTAGGGGGAAGTGCACTACTTCAAACAAAGACAGATGGAAAATTGTCCCTGCAACTATTTGGTGGACAGTTTGGAAGGAGAGAAATTCAAGATGCTTTGAGGATACAATTAGCTCTACCCAGAAAATTAAGACGAATTATATTCTTCTATTTTGTTTTTAGTGTAAAGCAAAATTTATTGATGATTTAGAGTCAATTTTACAAGCCCTAGACTCCTTGTAAGCAGATCAAGGATAGTAATAGTGAGACTTGTAGTTTTTTGTAAACTTCATCTTTTGGCTTCCAGCACAAGCTTTGTGCTGAAGAGTTATGAATATACTGATACATGTTACATTTTCCAAAAAAAAAAGAAAGAAAAGAATAATAATGTTTTTTTTTCCTGGTAAGGTCAAAGAATAATAAGGCCACTACAAAGTTACAGAGAACTTTTTCTCTCTCTATTTTCTTTGAGCTCTCAGGCACACTCCCCGAGGAGCCTGAGAAAAAGGAATCTTGAGAATCCAT